TATTTATGGCGCACCCTGCAAACGGAAACCAAATTACAATGGACCGTAATTGATCTCATTTTCACGGTAAGCAAAGAAAGAATGGAAAAAGAATCGGTTATCCCTCCGCGTAGGATGTTTTTGCTGAGAGAACAAGCCCCGAACCCTTCTTAACACTGGGAAATGTTTAGAGAGGGGCTGTGATTGGTGGCTGTACGTCACTGACAAGTCATGTCAATTCACTCTTTGTAACAAAGGCTTTGAGCCCATGAACCTTTGAGCAGGAGCTGAGATCCTTTCAGTAAACTCACCTGGGTAATAACATCAGCCAATTGGGTTCGTGTACGTATCACCAGCGTGAGAGTAGGATGTTCAGCATCGAACGTCAAACCAGTATTGTCATTACAGAACACTAAATAACACGCACACTCCATCAGCTTCACTGAGCTCTGATGAATTTCCTGGTCACATGGGTACTAACTACGAGTGTAACTTACCATTTTCACAGAAGTCACCAACAAAGCCATCAGGACACAGACATTTGTTGTTTGAGGCATCCAACGAGCCTAAAAATTAGTGCTACATTGGCATAACGTTGCTCGAGTTCCAGACCAGTGGAAGTGCGGTCTAAAGGGCTGATTTCTGGGCCAAATACCCTGATACTTCATGAGTTGCTGAAAATCCTGTTTCTACGTTTTAAAAGGTGCGGGGTAAGGATATACATCACTGACTCATAAACTGAAGCGATCCTTGGAACCAATGAATGGCCTCCATTCGCTATCTCAACTTCGCCAGCACCCTTCAACCTCTGCCCCCTCTTGATCCGAATTAGAAGTTTTTAAAAAACTCTCAGGTAAAAAACCTAAAGCATTTACCTCCATTAGCACAAAGTCTCGTGCCACAATCAGGTCCACTGAACAGTCCGGTACAGTAACAATAGGAGGAACCATCGAGGTTTTTAATGAATACACCATTGTTTTTGCATTTAGCCAACGGAGCCGGAGATGGTGTCGATGGTGACGGCGATGGTGTAGCTGGATTCACTAAAAAACATCGGCATGTAGTATTTGTCAACGTTACATCAACATGTACGGTATCCTTATATGCAAAGAAAACCCTCAAATGAAAATGATTCATTAACATACTCGTCTCTTATGAAGGCGGACCTCCGTTCTGGGTGGATACTCCCAGAACTCCCTTTATTATTGGGACATCAAATGTCTTGTTCAGAACTCTTTCTGGTCTGGAACAGAACCTACTCAGAGTGGAAACACCTTCGCTTTTTCACCTATCTCACAACTGCCCGATGAACGATTACGACTTTTTCGTTGCTATTTTGGCCCGAATTCCACCGAGCTGGGGGTCACTTTTGTTCAGTGCACCTAACTATTCACCCCTAAATCAGCCCCACTACTCATGTAGGACCCCCGTTCTGAGTGGATGTCCCTATTATATGAAACAGTAAAACACCCTACTTTCTTCCATAATTTCCAATTCTTAATTAGCATCATCAACCTAGCCAGAACCCTTCGAACAGGCGGCTTCAACGGTCTCAATAGGTGCAAGTTACAGCTGTTGGTGGGTGCTTTTTCACAAACTTACCCAGGCAATTGAAGGGAAAGAGTCGTCGAAAGCTGTACCCTTGGAAAGAAACTCCTTCCACCTGAAAAGTAGCATTTACTTCGATAAACCGGTGCGATTCATTGTATGCAATGGGGACAAAGTGACCTGATACACATAGCTTCCAGTCTTTTTACAGTAGAATGTTTCGAAGATGTATTCATAAGAACAATTGAATCTCGTGGAAAGGAGACGTGGACGGTACAGGGTCTGGAAGAAACTGGGGATTTCCAGAGATTGAGTGAAGTCTTCGTATTATGAAGTGCAGCAAGTAAACGATTTTTAAAGGAGGGGCGAGCCCAAGTATAATACTTCAATGCAGGATGTATAGGACCCTGCGGAAGCGCACCAGGTAAAGAAAGAATTAACTATCATGACTGGGCTACTAAATTTTTGGCCTATTTCTGCCAAAAATTTTTCTCAATTCTGCTATAAAAGGTCAAGTCCTTCCACGAGTAAATATTATTTAAGCCGCAATAATCATATTTCGATGAAATTGAAGGACGCAACGCATCCGCATGCGGCAACACCTGCAGACCGCATTCTCTGAGACGGGTCAGAGTGCTAAGTTGGAGCTACCAATCAGCCGGTTGGTATTGACAAGATCTCTCACAGTTGTCAGCTGGCCTATCCCTACCTGACCTTTAGGATTTACATTTTTTTCTTCAAATTCGAAACAATCCAGCAAAACTGCAAATTATTCCACTTACGTTTCCTTCTCCAATAAAATTGATACTCTTCAGCATAGCTGGATAACGAAGAAAGTTCCCATGAACGATGACAGATGCTGGTTCCCGATAAAATGTGTAGTCCTGTGGAAAGTCGGACCGCTCCGTATTCGGACCTTCTCCAATTACAAAACCACTGTTGATTGTGATCGCTGTTCGAGCCTACAAAGTGACTTATTTTTCATGCAGAAACAGATGGCGATGATCAGAAACCAGCAAAATTATATTCGGAAACTAATAAAAATTATGGCCATCAGAAAGTTCGCTCCTGCCTACACGGATAATTCATTAGACTGACATCAGCTCACGTAAAAGTAACAAGAA